TTTCTGGATTTTTCTTTCGTTTTTCTTTTTAGTGACTCTGATGGATTTTTTAGGTGATGTGAACATTGTCCCTTCATGGGTTGGTAGTATGGTTCTTGAATTTTTAGTTGAATCAAGAACATGATTTGGGGGCGGATTTAATGTATTTACAATTGTGTAGACATATATATAGATCCTACTGATTACAAATTTGCATGTGTTTTTAATGTAATTTATGTTGATGATCGAGATCACAAAATATAACAGAAGGAGAGTAAAAGCTGAGAATGTTTATTTATTTTAATGGAAATCATTTCATTTTAAATTTAAACTTCGGATAAGCATCTCTCACATCTTCCAAAATACAGATGACAGAAAATGAAGTAAGCATGCTTAAGATACAGAGTCGGAGTCTGATTCCTCCGTCATGCGAGGATGCTTGTTTCATGTATTTATTATCTTACTGGATCAATGCTAAGCTTAGGATTAGAGGGGGAATTCAGGTGCATTCAATGTCTCATCGTGCACCGATCACCGCATGGAAAACGTGGACAGACAACTGCTATTCTACTACTACACTGCTAACATCAATGTCTCATCAGGAAAATGCTACGCATTTAATACGTTGGTGTCGTGTAACCATGACACGACCCTCCGTCTCATCTACCATTCCAAGATCATGATTAGAGTTACACCTCGATCCTGTCTTCCGTCCCTGGGGAAATCAACTCGAGCATTCCCTGTACTGCTCTCTCTGTCTCTCTCCCTCATATGATGGTTAAAAAGCTAGAGACAAAGATGAGATGAGACCCAGCTCAGCTATATCACGAGAAAGAAAAGGACACCCGAAGAGTGATGTCGACCCTCAAATAATTGCTACGGACATGAGGCCGACACCTCCACTGTTGTCCTCTAATTTAGGCTCTTCCCCGCATTCACTGCAGCCTCAGTAATGAATTGCATGGGTTTAACATCCACTTCATATGTTTGTTTCTGCAACAGAGCAATGTTGTTCACATGGTGCGCGTAAATAAAGCCTGAGATGGAAGGAAGAGGAAGGTGTGCACCACTTGTGGCGGCGGCCGGCCTATGCCCCATGGCCGTGAAAGGTCCTTGTTCTTTTCTTGGGAGGACTCCTTGGAAAGAGGAATACGTGGTGCTCACGCCTCTTGCCTTCCCCACTGCACCGCAGAGCTTTCTCAGTAGATTGCCATTCAACGCTGAGACTGATGAGACGATACGTCTCCTAATCTCGGATCTGCACGTTTTCTGCGATTCTCTGTGTGTCCTCTCCATTTCTCCGGCTTTGATGCGTGGTTGGTTTCTTGATTGCGTGTTGTATACTGGATGTTGACGAGGTGACGCGGCCACGGAAGAGTCGCATCACGGTGGGGCGGCTCGCTCAAAACCAGTGAGGTCTTCTTCTGCACGCAAAGAGGCAAGGCTGGTGCAGGCGACCACGTCTTCTCATGGTCGGCATTGGTGACCTTTGGCACACCGGGAGAGCTTATCAGATTTGAAAATGAAAAAGGGTCTTCTTCTTATCCATTAGGAGAAGCCATGCCTCAGTAATGCTGCTATCCTCAACAAGAGAGCTCGTTGTCGTTTCATGAGAGTTTGACGAAGACGAGCGCTGTATTTCCTGGTTCAACAAGCTCTTATCATTATGCTTGATGGATCTCACAGGTAAACAATAAAACAGTCCCGTCACAGACGAGTAGCAGTTTTCATTGAACACGAGAGGAAGCTGAGTGTGACGCCGACTCACTTTGTCTTGGTGGGTACGACAAAGTTATCGTTCAGACATGGTCGATTTATGCTCGTCTGGTTTCCCATTTCCTGTTCTCGTTCCAATAATTAAGAGCATATAAAGCTTTCGTCGCAATGTTCTCTGTGTATCCATTCAAGTATTCTATCAGATAATTCCTTCATACAAAAACAATGGGTGCATAATTGTTCTATTACTTGAAAAAAAAAAAAAGGAGAGATTGGGCATCAGAATGCATTGCAAACAGTATTTTCTCAAATTATAGTTGCACAAAAGAAGAAAATAAAATATGCAAATGATAGATTTAGTGAAAGATTTACAACAAAGTTTTGTAAGTCAGCAATACAGTTCTAACAGGGAACTGTCCATCAGAAGCAAGGATAGTCGCACACTGCCTTAAAAAACCAGCACAGTAACAAAAAAGAAAGAGCATAAAAAAGAACAAACTTAAACCTTGCAAATTCAAATATGAAAATAATAGAGAAAGAAACCAAAACCCATACCATCGTCCCCACCACCAATCTACCCGCTCATAATTTAACGAGCTAATTATAAATTATCATCCGTAGTTAATTTATCTTTAATATTCTGATCCTTACATTTTAAAAAATTATATTGACATCCATATAATTACGAAAATAAAACATCTAGATTCATTTATGTTAATGTTATCAGCTTTATCAATGAAAATATGAAAACAAAAGATATTATTCGATGTCGCTGAGAGCTATTGTGGATGAGAAAAATGACGACGAGAGATAAATGTCACTCTGCATTTACGTCGACTTCGACACAATTGTTAAGTAGCGAAAAAGCCACCAATGTAGATGCTTAAGACACCGCTCGATAACTACATCGACGTCGACGGATATACAAAGCGACCCTCGCCTCTCGTCGCTATTCTCCTCGTCGCACTAACGATGTCGTTATCTGCCACCATCAACTTAAATATTAAAATTATATTTTATTCTCTTATTTTTATATTTTTGTTAGTAAAAGAAAAGAAGATAAAATAAATAGACCTAGATATTTCACTTTCGTAACTATAAGGATTCGTAACTATAAGGATGTCAATGTAATTTTTTAAAATATAAGGATCGAAATACTAAAGTTAACTCCAATTTAACATTATTATCAAAGTGATTCGTAATGAAATGGAATGACTAGATCACTAATCAAATCAAAAAATAAATCTATGTGATGAGAAAAAAATCATTCTCCATAAATAATTTTCCACCATATTAATAAAAAATAAAGTTCTAATGTTATAGTTTTAACAAAAGTTCCCTTGGCAAATCAGTTCATACATGATAGTTACCATTGCAACTCCGTTCTCCAAATAGAGCTTTGAGAATCTTTAGCATCTAACTATGTTGCAAAGATCAAAATAAATGGTAACATAAGTTTCAACGCTATTTAGATCAAACCAGTCTCCATTGTTAACACGTACACTATTAAGAGCAAGATTCTTTTGATGGACACTTTTTTTTTATGGACACTATTAGAGCTTTAAGAATCTTTAGCATATGTTGCAAAGATCAAAATAAATGGTAACATTTTTTTTTAATGGACACTTTTTTTCGACAACCACACTTCCATCCTAGTAATCCCATCAAATAGCTCAAAAATAGCAACATCCAATATTGACCCTCCTCCAAGAACTTCAAAATCTTAGCCAACTCTACAATAATCCTATTATCGTTACCACTCTAGTGAAGGCTTAGCCCAATCTTTCTAATACTCAAAGGATCTCTCATTATATTCATTATTTGCTTGCTTTTGGCTATCCGAGTCTCAAGTTCTTGAAGAATCTATCTTTTAGAATATTTGAAAGTTCACATGGTGATATCAAATCTTTGTTAAGATGGACGATTAGAGAAGATAAAACTATAAAACACAGGAAAAGAAAAAAGATAATAATGAAACACAAAGTACTCAGAAATATGCATTTACTCTTTCCGAGTATATGATTAAAGTACGATAATATTTTCAACTCCACATTTGCCTTATACCTACCATTAAATTTTTGAATAGGCAGAGAGAATGATATAAACCACGTGTAAGATTTTACAGAATAATAATAGAAGACACCAGCATTATAAGGGCCAGGTACAGCTAATTGACATGTACCAATGGTGAGCAAAATGCATCACAGCCATGGCTATTTAAAGCACAACACTAAGAAATATATTTTTAAGCGCACAAATAGGTTTAACAATTTTGGCTCAGGAAGTATATTCTGATATCAGCTCTACTAAAGAAAGATCAAGTGACTCACACTTCAAATAGAAGATGATTAACATACTCTAATTTAAACCCAAATGTGAAACCATATTAAGAATCCTGCTCGATAAAGCTGAAAAAAGTTAACTATAGAACAAATGAATCTAGAAAACAAAACACTGGATTACTGCCCCACTTGGACTGTCAATACCAACACAAAGAAGACCAAATCCCTTAATAATTAGATTCTACATTAGTCCTTACAGGAAAGCAAGATCACAGATACATTTCAAAGACAGTTGTGTTCATTCTAATTTCAATGAATTTCAACAATTATATTGAAAAACTCAAGAAACAATGTCAACCAGTTGTTCCCACAATCAACAAAACCCTAAAACTTCTTGCAGGTCATAATATGTATTTAACCAGAGGCATATTATAAGTCGAAACAACTACATACTTTCTCAGCCACCATTCATCTGTGATCTTATCTTTGTACCAATGTACCTTAAAACTATAAAATCTCAAGCAACCCATATTTTAACTTATCAAGCGTATAACCATAACACGAGATGGTTGATGTCTGATTATCCTATATTCATGAACTCATCCCCAATACCATGTAATCATACTCTTCGGAACTATCAGCCACATAATAAATGTCACATATCACCATACCGTGCACCTTCACTTGCTAACAACCTTTAACTATTTGATGCATTAGTGATAATGGAATCATGCTTTATGCTATTTCAGTCCCCACTACAGAATGGCAGAAATACCTTCAGTCCAAACACCAATGACTATAAGAATTATCAAAGATAACAGAAATTAAAGCAATTTAAGTCTCCCAAAAAAGTAATGGTTCATTCCACGAAAAGAAATCATATAGTATCTTAATATTTGTCAAAAAATTATCAGAAGGAGCCAACAACTACAAACTCAATCATCTGAAAGCAGAAAGTACTTGTTGGTAACAAGTTTGTACGTTCACAACTAACAGAAAAGAGCACAGCGAATGACACTGATATGAAGAAACATGAAATTTCAACCACATTACTATTAGGAAAGTTGTAAATCCACAGACAACTTTTTGAGTATCAAACGCAAAATTTCAAAGATCTCCCATAAACAATAGAACTACAGAATTCATTTCCAGCATCCAAAACAAATATCTAAAGTTTGTAGTAGAAGCAAAATATCATAAATAGAAAATTAACTCTTCCCCACGTCTTAGGACTACGCTGCAGCCACTGCCTTCTTCCGGGGAGCTGCTTGAGTACCTAACACAATCAAGAACAGGAAGACATCAAACAAATTGCAGGCATAACACAACGAAAGCAATTAAAGAGGAATTTTATGAAATGATCTAAAAGATAACCTTCGCGGAAGTTGCTCTTGAAGCGGCGTGGGACATGGCGGAGGTACCTCATCCTCCCAGTTCCCGTCGTCTTCCTCCGGATCGCCTTCACACTCCAATTATCTAATCCAATCGTACCAATAACTCACAATAAGAGCCCAAATCACAGAAAGGGTTTCTAAAGTTAACGAGGAAAGAAAAAATCGAAGGGTGAATGGAGCACATTTGCGGATCCGGCTGGAAGGATAGCCGCAGGCTCCGCAGCGGCTCTTCTGGAGGTGAAAGCTGCGGCGGCCGCAGCGGACGCAGAGGGTGTGGGTCTTGTTCCGCCGCTTGCCGAAGCTCCCGGTTCCCTTCCCCTGCAATCGAGAAAGAAAACAAATTCCACAGATCAGCAAAGGTTAGAGAGGAATCGACGGAGGGGGGAAGGAAGAGGAGAGATGAGAAGAGGCGGAGGCGTTCACCATCGCAGTTGCCCTCGATAAAACCCTAGCCGCGAGTTAGAGACCGCGGCGTGGGCATATATAAGGAGATTTCAGGTGTGAGTCCTTCCACACCAAACCGACGCTGTGGAGCCTCGATTCCTATTGGGCTTTCTTTAATGGGCCGGACCCTTCTTTCATCTACGCGTTTGTTGACCATCCCATCGTCCTTGGAGCAGGCTACGCGGGTAGGTCCCGCTCCCCATTTCAATCGACGTGCGGGAGATATCTGAGGGGAAAAATTGTTGTAGCAGATGACATACGAATGGCGGGAACGGCACGCCACGGTTGCGCCTCCACTTGGATCACGACTAAAAAGGGATCGAACAAAGGATGCCTCATTTCAGAGGACATCAAAATTTTTCGAAATCAAAGAATTCCGGATATTTTTTCGACAAATAAAAAAAAGCATTCGGATATCAGAGTACACCGAAACAAATGGAGAATTCAACATCAGATGCTGATGATTGGCATGTTGATGAGTCGTAACAACAGTAGTAAAAAGCACATGTGCTAACACAAACAAATAACTTTACACGTTTAGCACTCGGGCAAGTCATAACAATCATAAAATGTATCAGATTCTGTCATCCAATTCCCACCTCCACGAGTGGCACGCAGTCGTCTCCTCCGGCAAAGCTTCTGGGGATCCCAAACGTAGAACCCACGTTGAATGACCTCATATCTCAACCTTTCCCTCCCTGAACAACCCAGAGATAGATATAAGCATCTAAAGGGTCGCAAAGTTCTTTAATCCAAAACCCATATTCCAGTTCTAATTAACCGCAATGGTTCACATAAAGAAATAGACATAAGTAGCACCAAAATAAAAATTTGGGGGCATAAACAATAAACAATGTTATCGTAAATACTAAGGCCTTTTGAAGATTCAATTAAGCTCCACCAGCAATGACATTTCGAAAGGCATGGAAGAATGCATGGTGTGGAGTGTGTTCTATGTAAGGAATATTATATACTAGTACTAGGATAAGCAGATGAAGCAATAAACTAATCCAGCTTTCAGAAAACAAATGAATGCCAAAGGTATTCTAAGAACAGGTTGGATCAGAAACAAATTTTATAGATCAGGCCTTAAAAAGTTCCAAGTCTATTCCATATAAATTAGTCCAAATAGCAGTAACCTTCTGCCAACCTAGATGATAATCAGAAGACAATGTAAGATTTTCTCATTCATATGATTCATATTTAGGACACCTGATACATATAATCACTGTATATTATTAAGTCAGCTTGCATTAGAATCATTCAACTTTGGCACCCGCTTTAAATTCAAATTCCCAAAATGTTAAGAGCCCAAACCTATCATACAGCGGGAAGAAAATGAAAAACAAAAATATCTTATATGACAGTTAACATATAAAGATAGCCGAAGATAATGGATCTAATGAGTGAAGATTGCATTCTTTCAACAGCTTTATCTAAGACACTTCACCAATGATGGATTTTGATGCATGAATGATCATGATCTCATTACCACTAGGAATCTCCATCATCAACAATTATGAAGAATGTAAGAAACAAAACAGTAACATGTGCAAGAGAAAATTCCACTCAAAACCAAATAATATCCGACAAACAACAATTAAAACAAAATATCATGCTCTCGCAGGCATGATCATCCATCAATAAATACAGCATGAAGTCGTGACTTTGTGAAAGGCCAATTAAAATTTCTAATTTATACCTTTCTGGGAGGTGTTCCTGGTTTTAACAGATTATTCCCAAACCCCTTTTTCTTGTCGGCTGGTTTAAGAATTTGAAATGAACATGTCAGAGTGTCATCTACGCTCATCATAGCACCAGCATTATCGAATTCCCCACAATAGTTTGGGGCAGAGAATATCGTCACCAGCTGCCGCTTTGCAAAGAATTCATAACCATCTTCCACAACCTGCCAAAAGAGAAACGCTTTATGAATTACAATTATCTAGTTTTGTTAACTCGAAAGAGCAAGTTCAAAACAAGTGGTCATTTACTGAAAATCATTATCCTAGGATTCAGTTGCGTCAACATATAGCAATATGCCATCAGGATCACATTGCTAAAGATACTAGATTGAAAAGACAGCAAAACATGTGTAGCTTATATCAAACATCAATTCGTATTTATTTCAACAAAAAATGGTAAAAAATAAAATAAAATGAAGTTTCAAGATAGCACAGCTAACCTGGTGAGCTCGACAGACGAGATCTAGATCATGCTTCTGAAGAAACTCAGCTACTATGTCAGGCCCAAAAGTATAAGAGACGCCTCTATCGTTTTCTCCCCATCCCTCAATATCTTTGTCAGGGTCTGACCATAACAAATCACAAAGAAGACCTTGGTCTGGAACATCTATTGGACGAGCAATATTTCGGATCTGGTCCAAACTATTTAATTCAGGAGATAGACCCCCATGCATACATAATATTTTGTCATCAACAAGTGCAGCAACCGGAAGGCAGTTGAAACAATCCGTAAAAACCTTCCACAAACGAACATTATATCTTCTCTTGCACTCATCATAAAACCCATATATACGATTAATCGAAGCACATTCATGATTACCCCTTAGAAGGAAGAAGTTCTCTGGGTACTTAATCTTGTATGCAAGGAGTAGACATATGGTTTCTATGCTCTGCTTACCACGATCAACATAGTCCCCAAGGAACAAATAATTTGCTTCAGGTGGGTACCCACCATATTCAAAAAGCCGTAGAAGATCAGTATATTGGCCATGAATATCTCCTGCAGCAAGAAGAAAGTATAAATTAGTATATTATAATTTATACTCAAAGTCCTTAGACAGGCAACTATTCATGCTATAGATCTAAATGGCATCGTAAGACACACTACACAAATACAGCTCGATCAGGATGAGCGTGCAACTTCTTGTGACATGAACATTTTGTATGGTAATAGCACCAATAGCCAACACATAAGAAAAAATATCCTAAATAGAATGAAGCAAAAAAGGGCAAACCATGACGTCTTATTAATTCCAACTAGGACAAAATTATGCAGACCTCAAATTCATCATCATGAAAAAGACTGATACAGTTACAAGTTTTAGCACCCCAAGTTAACTAAGTCAAATCAATACTGAAATGGATCAAACATACTGAAAAAGTAGCAAGTGATCACTTAGAATCTTTCCACTCTAAGGTGCTGTTGAATGTTTAGCCACCACATATTAATTGTGAGTAGACCATATCTTCTCCGTCACATAACAAAAGAAAGGTTGTTGTTACCATGATAAGTTCTCACAATTACGATGGCTCCTGTATCAACAGAATCATCAAAGAGCATCTCACAGTTTCATGCTAATTTTGGCTTTGAAATTTTTTTTTATTCAAAATGGTTTATGCTCCCACCTTTGATAATAAACTTCTAATTTTAAAATTATCAGAGAGACTGCCACCACATATAAATCCTTTTATTATGATGTAGATGAATAAAGTTTCCAACTTTGTGTACCAGTAAAGACCTATCTAGAATAATTCAATTTACAAAAATAATAGCATGTCATAAGAATACATTAAAATAAGTTTGGCATTGCTATCCTACAATTAACACACTTAGGCCCATCTTCTTTAGATTGAATAATATTAGACTAGAATCTTACTCGGAGCAAGTAGGAGCTACACACCAGGTGACAGGATATTGGTTATCTTGGCATACAAGCCAAGTGAGGAGAGGGAACTCTTATCGCACAACAAAGAGAGGAAAAGAGCACGCAGGTCATTCAGCTATGTGTCTATTATTAAGTCTATCTAAAGCTCCTAACTATGTCACAAAAATAATCAAACCTGATTGGTTCTAACAAGTAACACCTTTGATTACTCTCAAGCAGTAAATAGTAAGTTTAACTACCAGCATCGAATTCTGAAAGCCCGAACTTTGGAATCCCTTGCATTTTTACATCATTAAGACTACATACCGTCAGATTTTTAATTTTTAACAGAGACATCTATTTGTAATCTTGAATCACCAATTGTCATACCCGGAGATTCATGCACCTGGACAGGCATATTGCTTGTGATCAGTGCTTCTATTTTAGCCTAACCAGTTGAAAAGTAGAATACATTGCAAGTCACGTTCATGGCAAAACTTTGTTCTATAAATGCTCCCAGATGTGCAAAAAAAAGAAATGTTCCTATGGTAAATGATGGAGTATTATTTGTAGGAACATGCTTCGGAAGCAGCAGTAGGAACTAGGCACTGAGATAAGACATGGTGTCAGTCACATTTTGCTGGAGTTTGAAAGCAGCGGTAGAAGACGAAACGACCACGCAAACACTAGCTTACAGACTTCATGTATACAGTACGTACCATGATGCGTTACATCCATTAACACCAAATTACTGTGACTGATCTAGACTCATCAAGATTCTCGAACCATTAGCACCAGCAAGTCAAACTTCCAGCCATCAGCCAAACAACACGTGTCAAATAAAAGAAATGAGTTTGGTCGAGAGTCATTCTTCCACTCAAAAGGCGCTCGATCGTAAAGAACAAAACTAAGTTGACATGGCAAAGCTAACGATAACAAACAATCTAAACACGCGTTAAGCGAGAGTGACAATCATAGCATTAGCATACCAACTACGACTTCGGCTATCAGGGTCAATCAATCTTGGTGCTCGGTGTATTACAAGCCCTAACAAAAAAGTGCTCCGATTCGAAAACGCAAGAAAGCGGAATAGGCGAGAAAACAGATATGACAGAAGAAAAAGATTAACTTTTTTCCTACTCCAAAGTCGAAACCACAGCAAAAAAAATCATATTATTTGCCACTTCACCGCATATCTTGATGGGCGCCTCAAGCTCCAGCAGATTGGGCTGGCTGACAAAGATCTCCTTCGACGCACCACAGAGCTGCCGGATATCTGCGTCCGTCAGCTGCGCGTTCTTGACAGTCCGACCGCCCTTGACCTCCAAAAGCCGCCGTATGATGTCATCCAGCACTGCCGCATCCATCGGCATCAATTGCAAAAGAAGGAAGAAGGGGGATCGAGAATAGATACGAGCTTGACCTCGCTTCAGTCCAGGGACA